TTACACTAAAAATGTTAGGTTCTACAATCTACTGGTTACTTGCTTTAACACTAAAAATGTTTGGTTCTACAATCTACTGGTTACTGCCTTTAACACTAAAAATGTTAGGTTCTACAATCTACTGGTTACTTGCTTTAACACTAAAACTGTTAGGTTCTACAATCTACTGGTTACTTGCTTTAACACTAAAACTGTTAGGTTCTACAATCTACTGGTTACTTGCTTTAACACTAAAAATGTTAGGTTCTACAATCTACTGGTTACTTGCTTTAACACTAAAACTGTTAGGTTCTACAATCTACTGGTTACTTGCTTTAACACTAAAACTGTTAGGTTCTACAATCTACTGGTTACTTGCTTTAACACTAAAAATGTTAGGTTCTACAATCTACTGGTTACTTGCTTTAACACTAAAATTGTTTGGTTTCACATGTTGTTCTTTAGTTTCTAACTTTTATCCTACAAAATTAATACTCGAAATATTGAAATTTTACTTAGTGACTACTTCCTCCATTTTCTAGTCATGTCAAAGTTGTTTTATGCTTTGCTCAAACTTTAGAATAATGTAGATATAAAATGTTCTGTTCTAAAATGTAGAAAAATTATACCTATTTCTTACGATCTGTCCAGAATTGATCACACTAAAACAATTTTTAAAAATTTAACAAAGAGGTTCAGCGAATTTAAAAATGTTTGAAATTCATTGAACGTTTTATACATGATCCTGTGTGCTAACTCTTGTACCAAAATTTAACAGAGGTTAATATGTATCACATTGACATTTTGTAGGCTCACACTTTGTATAGCAAATAATGAATCTTGAAGTGATTTATTTTTTGTTTCATTTGTGGAAAGTTGAGGATTTTGCTGATTTCTGTCTAAAAAAGAATGTGCTTCACACTTTCCATGTAACATGAGTACGTACATTTAATTTAGGACACTGCAGGAAAACATGGTTTTATTTTGTAAACAGCACTCTTTACAAACACTTATAACAACTAAATATTTGTTCTCCAAGATATATTCTAAACAACTTCTTTATATGTTCTTTAAACAAACAGTTAAATTGTATGTCCTTTACTGACACAATAATCCTGTATTTATACAGGAATCAAGTAATGTTACAAAAATGTATTATGCTTCACTTTAATGTTTTAGAGTTTTTAAGCAGCAACTGTGGATGAATAATTCACAAGAATGAATTAATAGCATCAGTGATGAATACTCTTGAAAATCCTATGTAGATATAAAATTATTGTATAAGTAAAAGACATTTCCAAACATCCTACATATAATAAATGCACTATATGAATCCCAGTCTTCCTATTTTGATTTGACCTTCTCCAGGGTTACTAATGAGGGCTGGTATTTCAAAAAACTGGTGACAAGTGGTAAATCAAATGATAGTTTGGGCTTCATTCACATTTATTCTTTTGAAGTTAAATTTAGTTACTCAAAGCATTTGATCTAAGTTTTTAAGTAAATACTAATATTGTATAAAAGTTTTAAATCATAAACTTTGAATAGTGTTTTATCAATGCTATAATACTGACTAGTAAATATACGATAGATCTTGATTTCAGAGTTTGGAGAACATTGATAAATTACTTGGGCTACTTTAAAAATATATGCTAATTTTTATTATTTAATGGATAGGTTCCCTTACCCAATGAATCTAGATACTGATTACCTTATCAATACTTTATATTTGCTATGTCCCCCAGCTTGGGAACCTGTCATCAAGTGTGATTTAAAACAGGCTGGTATGCTTCTTTTTCAATATTATTTTTCTTTTTTATAGAAAATCCTTTGTTTGTATTAATTGATTGATGTGAAATTTCAATAAAATCAAACATGATTAGTGTTTGATATTTTACATTTCAGAAAAAAAAGGGATTTATAATTTTTATGTCCCAGAAAAACACTAGTACTTGTTAATATATAAAATCCTAAGTTATAGAAGGATCAAATCCTGCCTGGAATATGCTTGTCAATAAAACAGTCATAAGAGAAGAGAATATGATTAGTTTCATTATGTTGCATATAAAACAAGCATATCATATGTCAAAGAAATAGGAAACGATCATTCTTTGGTTTTTGTTATATCCTGATTAAATTATGGAATAACACGTTCGGAGTAGTCGTTACCTTCAGAAGAGCAGCCATTTGTTGTTTTATGATCAAACCTAAGTAATTAGTTTCTTTGTACAACATGAACACATATCAAGGATACAGTTCTTAATGTAAGTTACAAGACTTCTAAAGTTAACAAGTAGAACTATCCAAGTTTGATGGGATGTGTAATTATGTAACTCTCATGTTGTTTCATCTGACCTGACATACAAACCAAATAAAAGGATCATTTTACTTACAACTACCTAAATTACACAGAGAAATTAACAAAACTGGTTACTGTGAATAAACTTTTATAAATGTTTCAGTGCTGACTGAAGGATGGAACCATTTTCAGTGAAGATGTCTTCATTGAAAACAATCAATGTGGATCTGTACTTCAATGTTTATGAACAAAAGATAGAAATCAATGCTAATGTTTCTACAGTACACTTGCTTCTCTCTTACAATGCCTAATACTAACAACTTCAACTGTAGAATCAGAATTTGAAAGTCTGTCTGCTTTGTGCATCTGACTGTGTCCATAATTACACTAAAATACTCCCCAAAAAAAAACGTTTACTTTCATCAAGCCTCCCCTAAGTTTGGTTGTAGGTTTATACTGTTAACTTAGTTATGAAACAATATGGGCAATCTGTAGCAATACAAGAACTGACTATCAACATTTGGACTTTGTCAGAAACATGGATTAATATGAGCAATGTGTAGCAATACAAGAAATGATGACTATCAATATTTGGACTTTGTCAGAAACATGGGCAATCTGTAGCAGGTAAAAATATAAAGGGTAATAATGGCTGGAGATGGTTTGAATGGGTAATGAAGAAAAACTTTAATATAAGTTTAACATAACAGCAAATGTACAACGTTTCGAGTTCGTGAGAGTGTTATCTGAAA